GAGTGACGTCACTGTCACGAGCTCTAGTATCTATTATATATTTGGCAACTTGGAAGCACATGTGTGACTTTTCCAATAAAACTACCACTGCTACAGAGTTGAAAGTTGGCAAGTACCTGCAAAAAGATATATAGGTCTCCACGACGGAGCCCGACTTTTTATTTATTCATTCCCTGAATTTAGAAAAATATATGTGACAAAAAATCCCTGACCTTCTTTGGCTTTTGTGATTGTTCTACTGAGAAACGAAATAAATCTGCGTAGGTCTCTCCTTCACAACGGAAGTTCGTTACCACTCTTTAACGCTCGCTCAAGAAACACGATTCAAGAAGCAGGGTGAGTAATTCTCGAGACACACCAGTTGTACGTGGAGACATGATCCTATGTATGCATCCAAAGAGTCGTTTTTAATATAGGGCCCAAAGAGAAAAACGTTTTTATTGCTTGGTAAGGATTTTTGGAAAAAATATTTTTGTTTTGGTTGCTTGCCTGTAGAAGTGCCATGCAAAGTTTCGTGGGCAAAGCTAAATTTGTCAATTAGCTAGAATTTTTTAACGCTGTCAGAGGAAAGTGAACAAGCTATAGACACTGTCTCTGTGATTTTGAAGATGTCGGTAATTTCCTTTTACAGTGTAGCAGCCCTTTCGTGGATTATTATTTTATTAGTGCTTTTTTGTGATGGTGAAAGGCGAAACTCGTATTTTGTGATTGTGAAGGACTAGACAGCAATACACTAAAGCAATGTAAATCAAGAGAGGAGTTAATCAAGACAGATCTAATCTAAAGCAATAGAGATCTAGAAGCCAGGTGTGACTGTGAAAGGCTAGACAGCACTGTAGATATAAAATGCCACCGCAGCGTAGACCAGTAGGAGCAGTGGCGCCAAGGCGTCGACCCCAAGCAAAGCCGGGTACTCAGCCAGTTTTATTATACTATTATAAACTCTTTGGTTGAGGCACAAACAAATGTTCACTCACGCAATATGCATAAGGCTCTGGCCATACTGCAAGTGATCTCCGCTGTTCTGCTCTGCTCTCCCCGCTCTGTTTGCAGTGGCCAGAGCCTGGTAGATCACTAGCTGGCCATCGGAACATCATAAAACAACCATGAGCATGTTAAAACATGTGCATTTAAGACCCAAAGAGAGCAAAGTTAGATTGGAGATACTTAAAGTCACTCGTTAAAAAAAGGCAAGTTACCTGTACATGTATTTATAATCTCAAACCAAAAGTTGCTTGCTCAATTATTTTTATTCGTTCGCTTTTGGTTGGGCTTGGTTTATCTAACGTTTGGTATTTTGCATTTTGAGTCGCCACTTATTGTAAAGGAAAATGTGGATTTCAAGCAAAGAAGAAAAGTGGGGGGGGGCGGTGATTGTTTTTTGTTCTTTTGTTACTTTTTTTGCCAAGATGGCGGCCGAAGCCTACTATTTTACATGTTGGGCCACCAAGGGATCTTTAACGTGCGCAACTTGCACACGGGACCTCCGAGATTTTTTCCCCTTATCCGAGAAGGCAAGATGTGGATCTTTCTCAGCATAAGATCAGAAAGCGTGGCTGAAAGAGAACAGTAAGAAGGAGACATGGAGTAGCGTCAGGAAAGGTGCAGAAAAAGTCAGGAACTCACAGGGGGGGGCAAGGAAGGTAAGGGGGTGGAGGCAGAAAGTGGAGACGAAAGCAGACGTCAGAATATCTCGCCCCAACATTCTTTGGTGTTTGTCGCTTGTATGGTGAAAGGGCGCGGCGAGGTTGGTGACTCTACTCTAGCGCCGGCTACGTATTTCCTACAGATTAACTCTCACCAAACTGGAGCAAGCAAGGGTCGAGCATGGTGCAAGTGAGGGGAAAGGGGCTTGACTCTCTCCCCACGTTAACTCACTAAACACTCGCTAAAAACACACTCATTCAAAACACACGTACTGATTTGCGATTAGTCATGTCTAACTCACAAAGTTAATTTGTATCGTTTTCTCCCATTCAGGTTCAGTCAAGATACCGGCGTTGTTCACCATGACATCCACTCGGCCAAAGGTGGACACAGCTTCTTTGAAGGCAGCTGAGAGTAAAAACAAACATGGAAAAGTTGAGGATACCATGTACTTATAGTAGACATTCCTGGGGGGGGGGTCAGAGGAAAAAGGGGGAAGGGATGGGGAGGCGGAGGGGTGGGGGTGGTTTTTGCTTCAACTGAGGAGTTTTGTGAGTGAACAGAGGGTTTCCTTCCATTCCACATATGCAAATGAAGTTACTTAAAACATGTGGGCACGTGTACAAGCATGTACAACT